AGCCCAGGAGTTGGAGGTTGCTGTGAGCAGTGAAGCCATAGCACTCTACCCAGGGGGACAGCTTGAGGCTCTGTCTCAAAAAAAAGAAAAAAAAAAAGAAAATACACTTTCAACAAAAAAGACATGCAGATGGCAAATGTGAAACGTTCAACATCATTAGACATTAAATTAGGGAAATGTGAGGGCACCACTACATACCTACTAGAATGGCTAAAATTACAAATGAATGATCATACTAAGTGCTGGCAAGTGGTGGATGTGGAGGAGCTTAAACACTGCTGGCAGACACGTAAAATGGAACAAGCACTTTGGAAAGGTTTAGCAGTTTCTTAAAAAGTTAAACATACGTAATGAGCAGAGTTCTATGGATACAGGTGATGACGGCTGCACAACAGTGAGTCTCTAAAAAATACTGCTAAACTCTATGCTAAAAATGGCTACCAGGGTAAATTTTATGTTATGTGTATTTTACTGGCAATTAACAAAAAATGAAACATACTTATGTGCTTCAGCCATTTCACTCAACAGTATCTCAAGAGAAAAGGAAATACTTGTCCGTAAAAGACTTACTTACACATGAAAGTTCATAGCAACTTATCTGTAAAAGCCAAACATTAGAAGTTACCCAAACTTTCACCAACAGGTGAATAAATGCATTGCAATATATTTTTACAACGGAATATTACTGAACAATAAAAATGAACTATTGATATATACACCAACATGATGAATCTCAAAGTAATTGTACTGAGTAAAAGGAGTCAAAGAGAATACATATGTTATGATTCCCTTTATTTTTCCTATATTTTATTTTTATTTTGAGACAGAAAAAAATGTCCACACTCGATTACCCTGGTGGCATCCTAGCTCACAGCAACCTCAAACCCTTGGGTGATCCTCTTGCCTCAGCCTCCCAAGTAGCTGGGACTACAGGCGCCAGCCACAACACCCAGCTAGATTTTCTATTTTTAGTAGAGACAGGGTCTTGCTCTTCCTCAGGCTGATCTTGAACTCCTGAGCTCAAGCAATCCATCTGCTCTGGCCTCCCAGAGTGCTAGGATTAGCGTTAGCCATTGCACTTGGCCTGTGATTCCCTTTAGATAAAATTCGAAACAATGGAAACTATCTGTAGTGACAGAGCGCAGGCAAGTGGTACTTGAGTGGGAAGGGATGGTTAGAGAAGGATTTTAAAAGGATGAGAGGAAACTTTGGGGGGTGACGAATAAGTTCAATACTTAGATTGCTGCCACACTTTCAAACAGACAATGTTGCAAAATATGTCAAAACTTACCAAATTGTATATTTTAAGTATGTGCAATTTGTTGTAAGTCAATTAGTTTAATAAAGCTGTTTAAAAAAATAAATACAGGTTAAATTTTGACACCTTGTCACTGTCATATGGTTAAGTCTTTCTGTAATTAATTCTTACTTTACTTTAATTATTGTATGTTATTATATTTTATTTACTCTAGCCTTTTATGTAAAGGGAAAAGGACAAAAATTTCTCCATTTTTTTTTAGACGGAGCCTTAAGCAGTTGTTGCCCTGGGTAGAGTGCTATGGCATCACAGCTCACAGCAACCTCCAACTCCTTGGCTTAAGCGAGTCTCCTGCCTCAGCCTCCCAAGTAGCTGGGACCACAGGAGCCTGCCACCAATGCCCAGCTATTCTTTGGTTGCAGCCATCATTGTTGTTTGGTGGGCCCGGGTTGCATTCGAACCCACCACCTTAGGTGTATGTGGCTGGCGCCTTAGCCACTTGAGCCACAGGCATCAAGCCATGTCTCCTTTTTGAGTTAAAACAATTTATGGGCTATAATTCTTTATAATTTATCTGAAAGTTCTTTTTATTTTTGAGACAAAGTCTTGTTACGTTGCCCTCGGTAGAGTGCCGTGGCATCACAGCTCACAGCAACCTCCAACTCTTGGTAAGCGATTCTCTTGCCTCAGCCTCCCACGTAGCTGGGACTACAGGCACCTGCCATATTCCTGGGCTATTTTTTGTTGCAGTTGTCATTGTTGTTTAGCTGGCCCAGCTGGGTTTGGACTGCCAGCCCTGGTGTATGTGGGTGGCGCCCTAGCTGCTGAGCTACAGGCGGCAAGCAGATTATCTGAAAGATCTTCAAATAATAATAATCATGAGAGAGGGCAGGTTTCCAAGTATATATAACCTAGCCAATTATGAACTCATTGTTTTTGGTATGATTATATTATGAACTAAGATTTTTCTAAAAGAAACACCAAAACACAGGGTGGTGCCTGTGGCTCAAAGGAGTAGGGCACTGGCCCCATATACCAGGGGTGGCGGGTTCAAACCCGGCCCCAGCCAAAAAAAAAAAAGACACACTAAAACACAAATGGCAAATTTGGTACAGTCTAAAAGCTGTTCTCTCTTCCACAGAGGGTAGTTTAAGCAAATTTGCCTTCATAGTTAGACTTTTATCTTACCCATCAATTTATTGACATTTTGTTTCTGTAGGTGGCCAATGAAATGCCATTTGATCTCAGGACACGAAGACAGAATCTAAAGAGAAAAAGGTTACCATTTGACTCAGGTGCATGAAGGCCTTGCTAGCTCAAACACTTTACACACCCCCCAAGACCATTCACAGCTATGCTCAGATTCTTAAATGTAATATACCACTATTCACCATCTGTGGCCAGCCTTCTAATGAGGTAAAAGGATACTGAGAAAAAAATCTAAAATTTCTGCTCTGTTTCCCTTCCTTGTTCCCGGGAACTCCACCTTTTGGCTGTCACCCATCAAGGATGAACTGGTTTAAGCTTTTGCATTTCAAGAGGACCCAAGGTTATAGCAAGTTCCTAAACCACCATTTCCAAAGGGTTGCAAATGAAGAACCATAGTCTGAGAAAAGAAAGAAAATCTAGCCAAGACTTATCTGGGGCACAAGGTGAAAGCAGACAATTCTCCCCTCAGCCCAGCCTCCTGCTCTAAAACTCAACCACCAACACAGGCCTACTTTTCAATCGAAAAGCCAAGATTTAAATAAAAACTGAAGAATTCAGCTATCTACTTACTTTAGGATTTGATGCTTTTTCTAGCAGTTCCTGAACCTAAAAGGTAAAATCAGAACAAGTCAGAAGGCTGGCAATCACGCCATTTCCAAAGGCACTTGGGAAAAGGGCTCTTACGTAGTTCTCTCCAAAAGTGCGCTGGCCGTGACTGTAGGCTTCGATCACCATGTCTGCAGGCTTGGTTTTGCTGACTGCTACGAGCCGGGGCTGGATGGCCGGGAGATCCTGTCCAGAAGCAAAGAGCCACGTGAGTGAACATTTGGGAATATTATCCCAGTAACTCTCCTGGGACAGATCTCAACTTTTTCTGATAGTGCAGGCTGATCAGTATCAAATTGTGGTGGCCACATGTCTTTTACATGCAGGGAAGCTCAATCTACTATGTTAGCTACCTCATATCTAACGGGGGTGTTTCTTTCTCAGGAGGGCTAGGCAAGTTAGGGCAATAATTTCCTTAAGGTATCTCACCAACTGTACCCCTTGGGTCTTACTCTAAACCTACTGAATCTGAATCTCTGCGGTTGGGGTCTGAAATGCTCTCCAGATGATTCTCACATATACCAGTTTTGGGGTTTAAATATCATTTTACTAAGGCAAGGCAGCACTCTCTGATTAGACAGGAGGCCACTTTCTGGCTTCTGAAACCCTAAGGTTACCTGTTTTAGAAACTCATCCTGGTTCTGGTGTAATGATTACTATTGTCCTCTTCACTCTAAAAGTGACTGGCTCAGGGTAACTATGTAATTGTTCAATCTCTGAATCAAGAACAAGTGGCACAACTAAGACTGGGACACAGAAAGTTCTGAATTCAGGATTAGACTATCAGACATCCTCCCGTGGCCACCGCAACAACAGCAGGGGTTCCCTGCAGTCGGGTGCAGCCGAATCCACACAGGCTGTAAATGAAGAGATTTATTCTTCCCTACATCGGTAGTTTAGTCTTCACGTACTCCATCACCCCTTGGGATCTTTCACAGAATCATGGTATTCTCAAGGACCTGAAGGAGTCAGGTCAATTAGAAAATGTCTCCTCTTCCTTCCGAGTGGCTGTGTTACCAGCCTCTTTTATGAGAGCATGCCATGATTCTTAGGATTAACTTGGAATTGATGGTTTCCAGAGAGGAAAGTGGAACAGGCAGCCCATCTCCCTGAGAGTTCCCCTAAAAGAGAACCTCCCAGAGTGATGTTTATTAAGGGAGTCCCCATGATACCGGAAAAGTGGCACCCCAGCCAGCTCAGCCGAGCAGGGCCTGGGGGATCTGCCACTTCTGTCTTGGTGGCAGCAGCCGACAAAAAAACCGGCAGGTTGGGGCAAGGGAGGGAGCTTTCTTTCTCCAGAGGCTCCAGTAGAGCGGTGTTAGAGGACCTGTCAATCAAGGGAAAACTGGTGCCCATCCCTGATTGGTCCATTTTCAATCCTGCTCCTGATTGGTCCATTTTATGGACCAATCACAGCTAAGCTATTACACCTATATAAGGCCCAGCGCAGAGAGCCTGGGGGCAGATCGTTGCAGACCTTCAAGGAAGATAGAGAAGAAGAAGAAGACTTCAGTGGACCATGCGGCACTTCTAGTGCTGATCCTGCTCTACAAAGAGGCTTGGCTCTTTGTAGGAGTTGTAACATTTGAGCTGCAACTGTAATACCTCTGCTGCTGATCCTGCCTTACAAAGAGGCTCGGCCCTTTGCTGATCTCTGCCCTGCAAAGAGGCTTGGTCCTTTGTAAGAGCTGTAGCTGTAACACCTCCGCTGCTGATCCTGCTCTACAAAGAGGCTTGGCCCTTTTTAAGAGTTCTTTTCATAAGAGTTGTAACACTCATATCCTGCCCAGCAAGGAGGTTTGGTTCTTTGAGCTGTAAATAAAACCTCACTGTTCGTTCTATGGTCTATAGATTTCATTCATCGAATCGTTGAGACCAAGAGCCTGGAAATCCAGTGTTAAAAATCCGGTATCACCTAGATTTGGGGGGGAAGAAGCACTGAGAATCATATTTAGAGCTTTCAGTTTATCTTACTGCCTGTGCAGAGGGGAAAGTGGGGGCCAGAGTGACTTGTTCAAGGGAGCATTACCACATACAATAACGGTCTTTGGTCTTCAGTCCAGCCTTCTGAGTTCTGATACTGAAAGTGAACCTTTGTCCTCTCTGGCCAGGTGTGTCTCATTCTACACCATTCAGCTTAAATTTGTACTGAGGTGGGAAAATTTTGATTCTTGGGCTAATAAAAGTCCAAGAGCAGGCAAACTATAAGCAAAAGAAAAAAAACCTCCCCTTAACTTGCTTGGGGTTGATGTCAGACAGCTCTTTCCTGCCCCCTCACCCAGGCCTACGGGTGGGGCTGACGTTTATGAGCACTACTGGCTGTCAACCCGCCCCCGCCCCCTGTAAATCGCGGATCTGGCCTCCCGAAGCTTTGGCGTTACAGGTCTTCTCTTCCTGCCTGCGGGTACCTGGCCCTGCTCGGGGTCCACCAAGGCTGTGGATCCCTACCCCACGCGACTCCAGTCGTTTTCCCGAGGTAGCGGGTACCTTCTGCATCTCTGCAGCCCCCGCCGACGCCCAGGCGGCCGGCCGTCCCGCCCCTCCGGGAGACCCGTCTGCGTCACTGTGACGACCCATTCCTACGCAGGTGTCCCTCTCCGCAAAGCGGCCGCCCGCCGTGCCCGCGCGGCTCCATCCTCACTCACCCGAGGCCGCCGCGCCACCGCCTGCTGCACGCGCTCGTTCACTGCCCGCAGCGCACACCCGATGCCCAGCTCCGCCGACATGCTGCCCACTCTCCACATCCCCCGGAGACCGACGCCAGGCCCCTGACCCTGGAGTCCCCGAGCTCGGATCACTTCCGGTCCCACCCACCTCCCGCCGTGCGGTCCAATCACCGCTCACCACCGAGCCTTCCCAGCCAATCGACACGCAGGCAGTGCGGGGCAGCGCGCAGGCGGGCTCAGCTCGCGCCCCGCCCCGCGGCCGCGGCCTTGTCAGCAGGTCTCCCCGAGAGCCAAGAGCGGAGCTGCGCTTCTCGGCGCCAGGTGCCCGGGCCATGGCATCACCCAGCCCAAGGAACTTTTCTGAAGCAAAAACCATATTCCGTTCTCAGGGTCCTCTTCTCTTTCAAAATGCCTTACAAGGCATGCCGGTCCCTGACTTTAAGAGCAGTGAACTAAAATTTCTGGGGGGCAGGGACCGGTACTAGGAGCCCTTAGATCGGGAGGCATGGCTTTTAGTATGTCGGAAGATTCTTGCGAGGAATCGCCATGCGATATAAAAGAAAACTCTTGCTAAAGACAAGGCATGATTCAAATGTATTGTTTTTATCATCCACCGGACCATTGTCCGATAGAACTTGGATGGGATCCACGTATGTAATTTAAAGATGTCTCAGGCACATAAAGAGTAATAAAATGTTAGCATTTAACCCAGTGTATCCAAAGTATGATTTCTTTTCTTTTCTTTTTTTTTTTTTTTTTTTGAGACAGAGCCTCAAGCTGTCCCCCTGGGTAGAGTGCTGTGGCATCACAGCTCCCAGCAACCTCCAACTCCTGGGCTCAAGCGAGTCTCCTGCCTCAGCCTCCCAAGTAGCTGGGACCACAGGCGCCCGCCACAGCGCCTGGCTATTTTTTTGGTTGCAACCGTCATTGTTGTTTGGCGGGCCCGGGCTAGGGATTCGAACCGGCCACCTTAGGTGTACGTCGCTGGCGCCTTAGTCACTTGAGCCACGGGTGCCGAGCCCAAAGTAAGATTTGGACGTGCAATTTAACAGAAAAACGGAATGAGAATGCTACATTGTTTCTGTAGTCCGCTGCTTCAGCTGGGCTGTCCGTATTTCAAGCAGCCACCGTGTGGCTAGTGCCACCTCAAAGGAGGGCGGAGGCCCTTTGGACAGTCTAGCTCTAGCATGATCTTAGTACACATTTTAGTTCAATTCTTGAGTCTCCTGTGTGTCCAGCTCAATGGGAACAAGAAGGCTATAAAGTTGATGGGAGTCAGACAGATGATACAAAGAGCAACAGAATAGTCAGTTGGGAAAACTGTAGGTACTGCCCCGTAAGTAGTAGAAAAAGATCACTTTCCTTAAGAAAAGCACTTTTGGCTGTACTTACTGTTGAAAGATTCTCAAACATTAATTGAACTTAATGAAGAGAGATGTTAGAGATAGGGCTAAAGTTCCTTCTCCAGGTTGTCTTGTCTTGAAGTGACTGGGATTAGAGATTTCTGGAAAGAGGGGGCAGTTATCCTTACTGTCTTCTCTCATTCCTTTTCCCAGACTCCAAGAACAGAGGGAGTTTCACACGTTCTGCTCTGGGAGAATCAAGGACTGAGCGGAACCTGAGTCCTTGCAGTAAGGAACATCTATGGTACACATAACTGAGTTGTCTGTAAAGTAGGATTGCTGAAGACATCGTGAGTAATAGTGCTCAAATAAAATGTCTCTGGACTTGATACATTTCTATTCCCCCCCAAAAGTGATAAAAATTAAGAAATGACACAATAGTTCTTGAGGGTGACAGCGTAAGAGATGTTTGCTGGAGATACAGAGTTGGAAGGAGTTAGGGCAGCGGTGGTGTGATGGACCAAGGCCATCATGGCAAAGGGATGTGTAGAGGAAGGCCTGGGTGACTATGAAATACTTTAAGTGATAGGCTACTTGGAAAACATTTAAAATATATATACCTTACAAATCTAGGGAATGTATAATCCAGGTGACAGTAATCCTGGTGATAAGTAGTCACCTGACATGACAAGTCACTGTGACACGTAGTTGTGCCATCATTTAACAGATCAAGTGTCTTTTCTTTGAACATCTGTTGTAGCAACTACTCTGTAAAGGAACCCTGGGAGAGAGACCAGGATGCATAAGAGAGGCTTCATTGTAGATTTCTGATTTTTTTTTTTTTTGAGATAATTTCTGTTGCCTGGGGCTAGAGTGCGGTGGCATTATCATAGCTCATAGCAACCTCAAATTCTTGGGCTCACCATCGATCCATGAATGGATCAACAAACTGTGGTATACGTACACCATGGAATACTATGCAGCCATAAGAAAGATGGAGACTTTACCTCCTTCATGTTCACATGGATGGAGCTGGAAAATGTTCTTCTTAGCAAAGTATCCCAAGAATGGAAGAAAAAGTATCCAATGTACTCAGCCCTACTATGCAACTAATTTATAGCTTCCATAGGAAAGCTATAACCCAATTTTAGCCCAGGAATATGGGGAGATGGAGGGGAGGTGAGAGGGGAGGGTGATTGGTGGGATCACGCCTATGGTTCATCCTATAAGGGTACATGTGAATCTAACTGTAGAATATAAATGTCTTAATACAATAACTAAAAAAAAAAAA